TTGAGGAATAGAATCGGGTGCCATGAGCAAATAGTAATTTATGCTACTACTTCTGTAAATTGCTGTAAAAACTCCTCATAAAATAATGGAGTGGATGGACATGCCACAGTGGAATGTTTGAGAGATTTGGGAATAAAACTGGACACTAAGGGTCCCTTTCCTCAATCTTTCATATAAAAGACGTATTTACACCCAGAAGTGATAGCTTAACACTTTATAACAAGGATTTTAATGAAGTTTGTACAACACACTGAATGGGAATTCATATATTATTTTGGTTAACAACTGTTACTAATTGATAAGTTTAAATTATAATTTGCTAGTGTTCAAAGAAGTTTTTTGCTAAGGTGGTATAAAATCACATCTTTTCTTCATTTAGTTCATTGTAGAAAATCTACTCAAAGCTCTGTGCTCATTTTTACAGTGAGTCTAACAGAAAGGAGTTCTCTTTTACCACGAGTATCTTGCTAAATATACATTATTTATGCATTATTTCAGTTGGAGTTCAAAATTTTGTACAGCTTTGCAAATGGGTAGATTCATGAAAATTTATGAACTACATTTTTGGGAACAATTTTTTATCATTATAGTGATAATCAAGCAACTGTTAGTGTCTTAGAAGGTGTAAGAGAGAACAGTCCATAAGAACAGTTAGAGATGAGTAAAATCCATTTTTAGGGCTTATGTAGCTCAAAACTATCAGTCTTAACACTTCAATGCACTACGCAAATATTGCTTCATTGACAAAGCAGGTATTTATGTCTTCAAATGTTCCACATGAAGTGGAGTAAAGTTATTAAATGCTTTCATCTTTGGGTATAGATGTTAATTTCCGGAACTCTAAAATGTTTACATGATCAAAGAAAAGGCAACACAAAAGCCAAGCAAACTTATCAGAAAATAACTGAAGTAATAAAAAGTAGAATTCTCAAATACGGAAATGAGACAAAGCTTAGAAAGATTGAATGATGAATGGGCATCTCTAGCAGAAATCAGTTTCTCTAAGTTTCTCCTTAAGTGCACATTGTACAAATATATTCTTACTGGAAAAGAGGATGTTATCCAGTTGTGGGGTAAGTAAGAACAGACAAAATTTCTACATGTCTCTGAACACAAAGATGGAACAGGGGTAGTATTAAATTAAGTTTGATTAGAAGTTTAAAAGAAAAGATGTGGCGAAAGTTTTGGGCTATACCCTTTTTTCCTCAAAAAAGAGAAGAATTATATATGAACAAAGGCTTCCTTAGTTTTGCTAGGGAACTGGCATACACTGGAAAATAGAATTGCTGCAAACTGCAAAAACAAAACAGTGAAAAATCAGTTGGCTGTGATTTTTTTACAGGGGAAGTGCATGCTAAGATCTTCTGAAATTTCACTATTTGGTTATGCAAAAACTTTTCCAGCTGCCAATGAGAACTGGTGATAAATTCTTGCCAGCAAATATAAGGGGAAGAAAAGGACCAACTGAAAGAACTTTTACACTGCTATTGTGAAGCCACTATCTTCACTTTTCACACTCCTGTCTATTCAGACATTTGCTGCATATAAGACAGGAACTCTCGAGCACCAGATGAAAAAGAATTCTATTTATACTCAAATGTGCTCATCAAACTCCTGCAATATACCTTTTCTTTTTAATCTATTATTATCATCATCTGCCAAGCCCAGTGCTGAATCAGAACCTAACTGTGTTAGCCATCATCCTGGCACATAACAAAAGACAGGATCCTTGTACTAGAGAGCTTACAAACACTGTTGGAAATATCTGTCAGTATTCAGCTGATAAATTTTTAAATTTTTGCCTATCTAGAGCTAAATGCAGTCATTGAGCTAAACCTAAAAAATGCTACTTGTCTTCCATAGGTCTTAATTTTTTCAGAGGGTCCTCAGACCTTAAACAGATTAAAATCCCTATTTTCTTCACAGCATGAGATGCTTTTTTATTACATTGAATTACGTTATACAGAATCACAGAATGTTCTGAAATGGAAGTATCACTGAGTCTAACTCCTAAGTGAATGACCCATACAGGGATCAACAACCATCCACAACCTTGATGTTATTAGCACTCTGCTGCAATCAACCGAGCTCACCTCAGTGGCAATTTCTGTCATGAGAAACCCTATGGAAAGTGGTAGCATTCAAAACTGTTAGCTGCAGCTTGCAGAATAGATGCTTTTAGAAAAAAGGAAAGGCTTTTCAAAGTTACACTTGATAAATTTGATCAACTCTTGATTAATCCATTAGAGGAAATCCATTAGAGGAAGGATGAGAATATGAAAAGTTATCTTATTTTCTAGGGACTGGAAAATAGCTGCAATCTATTTGCTCCCTAATAACTTTTACTTCTTTCCTGCAACCTGAGTCAGTCATTTTTTTTCTTTTTTTTTCTCCCCTCTCATGTTGAAAAGGCATTCTAATTTGAGAAATCTCAATCTAAGGAGCTCTGGAAAGAAATCTCTCATGATATGTGTGCTTCTGGGTAGTAGATGTTAATGTAATCTGAAATCTTTTGTCTTTTGTCATTAGCTGTTGCTTTTCCTGGTTGTCAGAGATGCATTGCACTTGCTATGTTTCTGGTTCCCTCTCTATTTTTATTCTCTAAATTGGTTGCTGGCATTTGAAGGGATTTTGTTGCTCTCCCCTCCCCCTGAACCAGTACCTATTACTGTCCATTTTGTATGTGATCCAGTGAAAAGAGATCACCTGATTTACCTGTTTTAAATAAAGTATGGCGATGAAAAACTATCTCCTGGAGAATCTGCTGTGTACCTTTCTTACGCTGGGAACACAACTTTAAAAATATGTTTTCACTGGTAAACAATCCACCTTTTTTGACTTTTTTTTCTGGCTTACTGGTCTCTCTCTGCCTTTTCTGTATCTCAAGGCTTTTTTCTGTTTTAGTTTAAAACAGCTATTGAACTGTACACAATATCTTGCAGTTATTTCTGGATGTTTTGCATAGCTTGGCCTCTTTCTTGCCAAGAGGAATTTTTGGCTATGTAGCATATTTTGTATCCCCATCCATCCCATCCGGCCCACATAACAGTCTGCTCTGAAACCATAAGCAACTCGGGAGAAGACGAAGCAGCCATGTGCCTGCTCTAGTTTCTGCCAGTTTCTGGCATCTGGCTGTATCCACTAGCAGGAAAATGGTTCAAGTCACCTTTCCTTGCCTACTTTTGCACCTTGATCTCTCTCTGAGAGAGATCAGTTATGTACTGAGATTGGAGGTCTGCTTATTTTTTTCAAGAACTCTCAGCCAGGAAATCCCCTGTGTGTACATGAGGTGTAAATACCATAAACCAAGAGAAGAATGTTTTGACGAAGTGAGGGTATTTTTTGCAGATTTCCTCTTTAGTGGCTTTTCACATTAAAATGCGTCAAGTGATAACACTTGAAAGGGTACTGTGATGTGTCACAGATATGAGAACAAAATGTTCTTTTTCAAGACATGAAGCTCTGTTTTTTCTACCCAATTGGTATTTTACCTTCTATTTTGTCCATAAAACCAAAGTAAGCATGGCCAAGCTGAACAATTTTATCTATGTTATAAAATTGCCTTTTAAATAAAGGAAGGAAGATGTTTCAATCTCAAAAAAAAACATGGTATACTAAAACATAACCAGAATATGGGTAGGGTTTACGTAATGTATTTATAATAATTTTTTTCTGATGTAATTTTTAAATTTTTCTGATACTCCTTAATAGGATTTTAACAGTATCATTAGCAGAAAAAAAGTGTTATCTTGGTATCCCAAAAAAATCCCAACAAAAGCTGCCGTATTGGTTATTAAAAAGCCGCCACCTCAATGCAAAACAGAATAAACAAAGAAAGCATAAAAGCACAAGGCTTTAAATATGTTCTGTATAGACTATTTACAAAGGCTTTTTTAAAAATTTAATATTTGGGGAACAATGATTATTTGCAGGCTGCAAGGTTCCAGTAATGGAAATTTCCTTTGCTACACTCTTATACACCCTGTCATTGTAGGTTTCTATGGATGCTTCAGACACTGTGTTTGCATCAAGAAAGTTCTCTCCTTGCTTCTCACAGTGAGAATTGTACCAGTCTTTATTTCTTAAATAGAGAATTCTGAAGTGTTGATTTAACAATTAGAATACTTATGTTTCTTTATTGTACTAATGTTAAAGATTATCTCACTGTGAAAAGGTATTTTCCAAGTGTTAATGCTCACTGTTAGAGCATGCTGTGCTTGACTAAGAGCTTGTACATGCTCTGTGTACAGATGTGTTCTTGCAGCTCTTGTAGTAAGAGTAGATTACGTGAGTGGCGACGTAAAGCAGAAGGATTGTGTGCTGTTGCTGAACACAGTGAAGGGCAGCAAACGAGCACATGTTCTGCAGATAGTGGGGCAGAAAGCTACACAGTGCAGTTGTATAAGAAGTGGACATTTATGTTGAGTTGTCTGATTTTGACAACACTTATGCTCCAGAGTGGAATGAAAGCAAAAGCATTTCCTGTGTATCCACCCATCTACCCTCCATCTTCCAAGTCAATCTAAATACTTCAGTTTGATAAAATCAGAATATTTAATTATGTTTTAACTGATATATTTTCTTATCACATTTCACCAACTATTAATCAAATGACACCATTTTAAAAAATAAAATATAATATAATTATTCAATTTCAAATAAGCTAAGATGAAATATCTGGGCTATATCACAATGCTTTTTTAAGCTTTCCATTTGTAATTGATTTTTGTAAGGGATAATGCATTTCTGTGAAAAATTCTAGTTTTTATGAAGTTATTTGTCCTAGTACTATTCACGAGATCTAGGCTGTTAGTACTACCAAAGATCTGATAGATTATTCTACTGTCATCTTGTAGTAGGTTTGCTACATTTAGCTTCTTATGATTTTGGATTATTGAGTCAGTCAGTGGGATTGCATCCTTTGCTAACCTATTGCCCATGCTGATTATTTTGCCAGATAAAAATAGAAGTAAGCAAAAAAATTTCATTGTGTAACTTACGATTTACAAGTTTCGATGGTAATATTGGCTTGCACTTCTCAGGAGATGTCACATTCTCTTCATCTGTTACATACTCAAAATTAATAATAAACATCATTGCTACTCCCTCTTGATTTTTCACTGGAATTATGTGGGTGTTGCAAATGAAGGTAGATCCTGCAGATGGATTAAAAAAAAGAGAACAATATATAAATGGAAGGAAACATATTTTTTTTTTTTCACTTCAGTAAGTCTAGTTACACAAAGAGACAGTGAAGAGTATTTATTTGAATTCAATAATTGAGCATCAAACATATTATTCTTTGATTTAAACAGTAATGTTTTCATAGAAAGAAATACCACTGTTCATAAATTCTTGGAACCTTACCTTTACCAAAAAGCATCTCCTTTGAAATGCCAGCTTTACTTTTTGGTTTCTTTTGTTCACTGGAAGTGCCTATATAGATGGACTTGTAATATGGAGACATTTAAACACCAAAAGTAGAAAACTGAACACTGTTCCAACCACAGTCCTTGCGAAGAAAGCAGATCCTGATTCTTCTAAATGTTGAACATTCTTCAAGCATTTGGTTCTATTACACAGGATGAGTCATGCATTAAGTATTTATGGATGTAAATATACCAGTATTCTTATTTTAGCTCTCAGTCTTTTGGGGACATTGGAGAAATGCTTAGACTTGTGTTAAAAATTTTATTTGTTAGTTGTTTTATACTTCATCACAAATATCTTCTAAACTGTGCTAATAATTTTCAATAATTTTCAGAAGGGTTTGAATTAAGTGTTATATACAATTTGAAATATAAATTCAAAAATACCCTAGATTTCACATGTGTGAAGCATACTCTGCCTATACTAAAAGTAGTAGAGAGTGTAAACTTTCAATCCCTCTGGTGCCCTGAATGTTCTTGTTTAAAAACCTAATTACAGATTTAAGGAGTTCTTTGTGTTAACTCTTCCACTAAGGCTTTAGAAGTTTCAGTTGACAAGGTCATTAGTTATGATTTAATTCTTTCTATTAATGTTACAGAACATAGAGGTTCCAAAAATAATGTGATTGCTGTAAGCAATACAATAATGTACTAAAAACTTCATGCAGACACAACTGTGAGACGGGGTCTTTCTATGATAACTAGCGACTGGTTTATTGTACATCATCTGCAATTTAGGCACTCAAATGCAGTAATCACTGAAACTTGACAGCCTGTGCAGTTTGACAAAAACAGATCTTGATCTAGATTGTACACGAGTTTGTTTTTTTTTTGTTTGTTTCCATTGAGGAGAGAGATAGTATAATTTATATCATTACAACCAAGACCAGATTCTGGCCTCTAATATTTAATGCAGTACTTGCCATAATGTGGTATATATGGCAATTCGAGTTATGCATAAAATTGACATGCTGGCCTTTCAAGTTTTGCAGCTGTAACTTCCATCCATTTAATAAAACAGTTAAGCTGTGGCACTTGCCACAGTTTCCATGGTTACAAGCTCAATGTCTTTAGTAAACAGAAAATAAGCAATTTAAGACCGTTCCATTAGAGCTAAAAATAGAAATGCTGCAGGCCAACCATTGCAACATAGACTGGTTAAACAGAGGGGCTGGAGAGAATTCAGAATAATCTTTGTGGTTTTAGTTAACAAATAAAATACATACCAAGTTCAAAAAGTCAAAATTATATTTATTGATTTACTTGGAAGGAAATTATATGTACGGTTTTGACATGAAAATTTATAGGCTGAGCAGGTATCCCCCAATATCTGGAGGGGGGGCTTGGCTGAGGCGTGCATGGCTTTGAATAACACTGCAGTGGATCAAAGGTTTGTCAGCATTTGCAAAGGATGATGATAAGGACACTTTAAAAACTTTTCTGCTTTTGAAGGCAAGGGTGTTTCAGCTTTTGAAATGCTTCCCACAGTGCTAAGTAATGACACTATTTCCCATTTGTGTAGAACATTCCTCTGTAAAGAATTCACAAACCTCATTTGTACTGTATCTAGGGATTTGCATCTCTGGGGAGATGCAGGAGTTGTTTAACAGTCCACAGCTTAAGAACATGGCAAAAAGAGCAGATGATTGAAAATTTAAGCTGTATGTAGATATATTTCAGGAACAAAATGTAGGAAAATATAGTTCATGTGGGGTTTAATTTAGCATGGTTCCTTTGAAGACCAAATACGCCACAGACTAGGCAAGTCCACTGTAGTTCATTTGTCTGAATTTTTCCAAGAAACCCAGGCTTTTTAAGAGGAAAGGAATATTTACATTTTTTGTAATACTGAAAGTGGAATGCTGAAGTTAACCAAAATATGTGTCACAGACACTGTTCCTGACATTGTTAGTGTTTTTCTTTAGTACAGCCACTTCTATGTGCTATACACTTCTCAGTATCTAATTCTGTTAAACGGACAATAAGGAAATACAAAAATCAAAATAGCAAGAATATTCTAACATGATTTAAAAAGAAGAGATGGGTACAAAGAAATAATATTGACAAACCCAAAAGATAAGCTTTGAGTTGTTAGAGTTGATAGCAATAAAGAAATAATAATAAGATTGTTTAGAAACAATCTTATTCAGTATTTGCAGTCTGGCATCCCACTGCTCTTCATTGCACTCAGCATGTTTTTCCTGTGTTGTCTCTATGCTGAATATTTCAAAAGTAATACATGCTTCCAGCTGAGCAATAAAAATGGTAATGTAGTTTTTGGAATTTGCATTTCTTATCTAACAGCACCGGGCAAGTGGATGATTCAATGAGAACAACAAAGAAAAAAATACCTTCATAATTAATAAATTCAATAGCCAGCAATATATCTGAATTTTCTCATGATTACTCCTGAGGAGTAATCATGAAATATACCTGTTTTGCTCTTTTGTTATCATCATTGGAGATGATAGAGAACAAGTTAGACATTTTCTTATCAGCTTGAATTCCATGGTTATAGGGACTTGTTTACTTTTATTTAAGACATTGCAAAGCCCACTGTTTCACCTAGTTAAATTAGTGGAAAAAGAATCATATGGGAAGAACAGATTTCACTCCCCTACTTGCTGGATGGATATGATGTATGATTCCATGGTTATGTATTCAATAGTATGATTTCACAAGACCACACAGCCTTGTGTGAAACAAGTAATTACTAAAATGCATACACAAATGACAATAAATATTTCAGAAATAACGATGTAGGGTATAGTAGAGTTATAGAAGGATCTATCGCACCATTTGAGCAATTCTGATGAAGGAAAACCAATATATCTGTCTGTCTGCATGGTGTTCAAAGCTGACTTGCTTCAGAAGATCAGTACAAGGCAGGCAAATCAAGTCAATTAATCTGGTTCATAACCATTTTTTACATTTTCAGTGATCTTGTATGGAAGAATTTTGGGCAGATTTTTATCAGACTGCATCTTCTAGATACAACTGCATTCATTTATTAGAATTTTGGTAGTTCCACTCATAAACAATTTGGAGAAGACAGTGCAGCTAATACAACAGTGAAGACACTCCAAATTCTCATATGAAAAACTCTGACAAGTAAACTTTGAAAAATGAAAAACCCAAACAACTAATTCAATTCAGTCTTCCTGGGAACAAAATCTTCACAGGCCATTTTATAAGCCAAGCTCAAAGGATCTCTGAAAAATGAGGCATTTAGGTAATTGTCCTAATTCTGCAGAATTGCCATGGTTCACACAACAAGAAATTTTCAAAATTCATCATGGTTCTACAGGATGGCTCTGGAATCCTCTTGCCCTGAATGGGTTTTACAGGTGCTATCTGCATTTCACCATATAAAAATTTAGACTCCTGCACTCAGTACAAATTTGAGGACAGCCTCAAGAAGGCGGAGACTGGTTTCAATATATTTTGGAACCAATCTTGGCTCTGTCTGCCATAGAATTTATGACTTCTCAGATATTTTTTGTTACTAGAGCTGCTGTAGACAACTGACTAGGGCTATAGAAAGAAAAATATTGAATGTGTCCTCTGAATGCATGTAGAAATTTCTGGGCAGAGTGACCTCATACCCAAGTTTCCTGGGATTGTGATAATTTTTTACTTCTATGACCTACCAGTCCAGTATAGGTATCTCTACAACCCACAGCCACTTCTGCTCATTTAAAACTGAAGATAACAAAGAATAAATCAAAACATAGCAAAGAAAGAGCCAACAACAGCTTGCCTACTAAACAAGACCAAACACAGTCAAAAAATAGAGGCAGAGATACTCTGCATTTCCAGATCTCGACCGTCCTGTTTCCTGTTTGCCAGACAGCTCTGAATGAAACATGTCTGCAGACCACAATTATATGGTAATACAGGGACAAGAGAAAGATACTGGATATTCTTTGCTCTTTTATAAAATAATCACTCTTTTTATTTTGGAAATAAATACCCTCCAGTTCCCTCAATAGGATTCTCACTTTGTCATCAAAACAAATGCTCAAAATGCCTTCTCTCAGATGCATAAACTTAAAACTACAAGGTATAGTAGAAATGCAATTAAATATATTTCATATTCGATTGTGTATTCAGCTTTGTCTTAATTCTATCACCATTTTATTGAAACGGGGCACAGAAAAGTCCACATAGTTCCTGTTTTGTTAGTAATGTAGTGAAATGTTGTTTTCATAGATTCTTTTTTGACTAGTTACTGTGAAATTATTAGAGTGTGATAGCTATTATAATGCATAGAAACTTATATTGCTGTGTTAAGCAATGTTGACTTCTGTAAATGCAAAGAATGCTATGCATTCCAAAACATGACCAATCTTATTTTGCTGTCCTATGTCCATGTTTATAGCCTTCTTTGTCCTTTCATCATAGCATGGCTTTTGGGTTTTGCCCAGTGTTAATAAGAACTACTCTGGGGAAAGAAAAGAGAGAGAACCTGAGGGTAAGTTAATGTGGAAGATCAGAAAACCTTCTCTGTCTTTGCCTGTTCATAATGTAATCTTCATCTTTGGGATGAGGAGCCAAAGCATGGCTTTCTACTGACACCTAGACTTCACAAATTCAATATCCTCTTCCTTCCTAATGGCCAAAAAATGCCATCACTTTCTACTTCTTTCAGCATGGGAATGGTCTTGGAAAAGTGTAATACTTTTCTAGGCAGAACATAAAGGGAATTTAATGAAATTAAATTTATG